CAGACTAGCCCCTCCTCCCTCTGAGCAATACCGCGTACCTCCAGACTAGCCCCTCCTCCCTCTGAGCAATACCGCGTACCTCCAGACTAGCCCCTCCTCCCTCTGAGCAATACCGCGTACCTCCAGACTAGCCCCTCCCCCTCTGAGCAATACCGCATACCTCCAGACTAGCCCCTCCTCCCTCTGAGCAATACCACGTACCTCCAGACTAGCCCCTCCTCCCTCTGAGCAATACCGCATACCTCCAGACTAGCCCCTCCTCCCTCTGAGCAATACCACGTACCTCCAGACTAGCCCCTCCTCCCTCCGAGCAATACCGCATACCTCCAGACTAGCCCCTCCCCCTCTCGACAATGCAATTTACCTCCAGACTTCCTTAGGATAAAGAGCGGGGTCCCGCCTTCCACTTTTCCGCCATCAGGGACCAGAAAAGCCTCGATGACTCCGCCTGTGGGGGCGGGAACTTGTACTGATGTCTACACAAGGAAAGCTGAAGATTATTGGCTGACACGTGAAGACAGAGAACCAATCAGGACTAATGACCCCTGACCTGTACCAGACGCAGGAGGGGCCGGCCTTCAGTCTCTGATTTTGTTTCACTGTTATAAAGCTGTGACCTCATGACTAAACTCCGCCTCCTGCCAGGTCCAATAAGAGCGCTCCTCCAGACTCTAAGGCATGCTCATCGGACAATGGAAGGGGTAGTGGGCGGGGCTTAGCTCATATCTTGTAGAACAGATGGATGGAAACAACAGAGCTCCGTGCTGGACACTGCTATGTATACTGAGGAGCTGGAAGTCAGTTCGGGCAGCCTCAGGGCGCCACTCAGCTCCAAGGGATCTCAAAGAGTGGGCCCCTACCTATACTACCTCACACAAGGGCCCCAACCCATACCATCACGCACGAGGGCCCCAACCCATATCACTACTACACACGAGTGCCCCTATTCATTCCACCACGCACGAGGGCCCCTATCTATTCCACCACTACACACGAGGGCCCCTATCCATATTACCAACACGCAGGAGGGCCCCTAGTAACATGTTCTGGATGTTCAGTCCCTCCCGTGTGGTATTGAGGTCTATACACCCCCCCCCTGTACAACGGAGGATGGGATTGGGGGGAGGGGTTGAAATTTGGTCCGCCTCGTATGGTTTCCCCATGTTTACAATGATGTACTCCTCAGGGGCGGGTCTCCTCCATCTCAGGGGCGGATCTCCTCCATCTCGGGGGGGCGGTCTTCACTCTGTCGGACTCTGTCATTGGAGGAGATCGGTTTATTTGCCTCTCGTATTGGCCGAGTTCTCACCTTGTCCGTCTCAATCTCACAGACGACTTCATCCTCCCTCACCAAGTCCCCGACAGCTGCAAGAGACCACGAGGGGTTAACTGCCCCCCCGCCACAAAGCCCCTCCCCCATCCAAATCAAGGCCTACCCTCCCCCAGCGGACCCGGGGGCCGCCATCTCACCTTTCTCCCACCTGACGTCTCCCTCTGTGACGGATTCGGCAAAGGCCGGTGTGTTGACGGTCACCACGTCCTGCCCTGTCGGAGAGAGGGGGGAGGGGTTAGGATGGGGCGGGGTCACTGGAATGGTTGCAGCCGATTGGTGAACACTTACTGCAGACGGCCGACGTGCGATAGAACCTGACGGCGTCTGTACTGGAGGGTCTGCGGAGAGATCAGACTGCACAGTCAGCACCCAGTCCAGACATCACCACCCCCTCCTCCTCCCCAGTGCAGGCGCTCTACTTACAGGAAGGTCTTCTGGCCGCCAAGTGACGCGATTTGCCCCGCGGCGGGCCCTGAAATAGAGACACAACATAAGGTCCGGCTCCGCACCGCGCGCACCAGAACATCGCACTCATACTCACGGGTGTAAAGCCGGATGCGGGCGCCGCTGGAACCCTGCGGGAGGGGGAAAAAAAACAGGCGTCAGAGTGGGGAGGAGCCAAGATTCCACCAATCAGATTTCCACTAGAAGATAAGCACGGCCACCTCAATGTGACAAATGGCGACTCGCCGTCCGCCAATATAAAACTCCACCCACAAAACCAAAGACTGCCCAGGCGGACTCCTCATACCGAGAGACTCCGCCCAGATCACCATATAAGGTGACCCTCCCCGTAAAACGTCCAATCAGGGCGGCAGCCAAGACATAACGACATTCTGTCCCCTCCCCCATCATGTGATAAAATGTCGGCACACCGGTCACATGATCTCACTGGGGAAGGGGGGGGGAAGGGGTAATAAGTCTGAGGTAGCAGAGGACGTATAATGAACACAACACTACAAGTGACATATCTCCAACCCCTCCTCCCCCCAAGCCATAGCCTTGCCTGAACTATGGGGGGGAACTCACCCCAGGGGAACGGTGCATAGACTCACCCTCTGAGGGGCGGGGATTGTGGGGGAGGGGTTGGTAGACTCACCCTCTGGAGAGCAGGCACCGGACAGCGCAGAGTTCGGCTCAGGCAGCGGGAGAACATGGCTGGGACACTCAGCTCAAGGACACGCCGGAAACAGGACCGGACCAAAGACTCGGGGAAGGGGGCGTCTCCACGGTGATCCTGTCCCTCAAGCCTCCATTTTGCCGGAGTTCGGAGCCATCCCCTCTCTGTACATAGTCTATGGAAACATGGCGACATCGCTGGAGACCGGAAGTACTTGCCCTCGGTCTCTAGAGGATGGGAACAGAGGTTCAAGTATGTGGGAGGGGCAGAAAAAGAACACTTCCATTATAGGTAGGGAGGGGGGCACGTGATCTGCGGGAGAAAGCAGATCTGGGCGGGGCTTCACTATCTTCCCGCCCATATACAGGAGAGATTGATATGAGCGATGAGGACTGAGCCTTAAAGAGGCCACATTTATGTCTCATGAGGGCCACAATGTGAAACTTCAGAACATAGAGTGAAGTTTATATAAAATGTTGTCCATGTATTCTGAATGATGAACTCCAATGATGAGGCCGCAGACGCTGAGCCCGGAGGAAGTCGGGATGGCGGTACCGGGGGACCTATTCATTACACCACTGGGAGCCACAGAGCAGGAGGGAGAGGGCCCCATGTGGCCCCTGTACCAGTCTGCTCCCCTCCAGTAATGTGGTTGGTTGAGTTCCAGGTGCACCATTAGGCAGCTCCGCCCCCTCGGACCTGATGTTAATCTGAGCACGCACCCGGACACCCTCCCCCCACTGGACTTCATTTTAGCCTGCTGTGGTGAAAGCCCCATCCCATGGTGAAGCCCCTTTTCAGGAGTCCCCAAGTGCCCCGTCTTTTGGGTACATCACTGTCATGTGACGTCTGCACAGAATCCCATAGGATCTTCAGGTCGAGCTCCAGGAGCGCGTTCCTTCCAGCCTGGCGGCCATGTTGGGTATTGTGCCTGTTTGTGGTCTTCCTGTGCGCCCACATTTAAAGTGGCAGCATCCTCCTAAGCCAGCAGAGATCGTCACAGGGTAACCTCCATCCGGGCGGAGAAGGCATCTGGCCCCAGGGTAGTAGGAGGGTACCCCGATATGTCCCTGACCACCCACACCGAGCTAAGTGGGCAACCTCAGACCTCCCAAGATGTGCTCTACCTGAATGGCGTCCCCCTTTGTCCAGTGCCACCCGGTGATAGCTCAATGGTCAGAAGTCTCGGCACTGAGGGCTTTCCATTGGACAGTTCCTGATATGCAGAAAAGCCAAGGACCTCCTCTGTGCTAACCTCCACCCACAACCTCCTCTACATCCGGCTTCCTCCATACCCAGCCCCCCTACACCTGGCTTCCTCCACCCACAACCCCCTCATCCGCCCAAAAAAAAAACACAGCCCCCTCTCCACTCTACCCCCTGGCTTCCGCTACACCCCGCTTCCTCCGCACACAACCTTCTCACTCATTTGTGTGGTCAGATTGTTTGGTCTTTGCTATGACTGCCAGCATTAAGACATCTCCGGAAGAACAGCGGCTTCCACTAGGATGATCTTTAAAGGTCAGAACATGACCATGAAAAGGGGCCAACATGGCTGAAGAGCCGCATCCCTCCGAGAGAACATTACACTTCGTTATCAGCACCGCACGTGGCTCAAGAGACACAAGGCAGCATCTCGGTCAATGCTTCTCATCCTTGAGTTGACCTTTGCCCCCCAGTAATGCAACCCAACTACAGACCTCACATTTCTCGCTTTAGGTTACTGAAATCTCAGGAGTGGTAACTTCCTCTAACTCTGCTGGAGGACTCTGCTCCTTCCTCTATACCTCTCCTCTCCTGATATACTCTGCTGGACGACTCTGCTCCTTCCCTTCCTCTATAACTCTCCTCTCCTGAAATACTCTGCTACTTCCTCTATAACTCTCCTCTCCTGATATACTCTGCTCTGCTGGAGGACTCTGCTCCTTCCTCTATAACTCTCCTCTCCTGATATACTCTGCTGGAGGACTCTGCTCCTTCCTCTATAACTCTCCTCTCCTGAAATACTCTGCTCTGCTGGAGGACTCTGCTCCTTCCTCTATAACTCTCCTCTCCTGAAATACTCTGCTCTGCTGGAGGACTCTGCTCCTTCCTCTATAACTCTCCTCTCCTGAAATACTCTGCTCTGCTGGAGGACTCTGCTCCTTCCTCTATAACTCTCCTCTCCTGATATACTCTGCTCTGCTGGAGGACTCTGCTCCTTCCTCTATAACTCTCCTCTCCTGAAATACTCTCCTCTGAAGGATTCTGCTTCTTCCTCTATAAAACTCTCCTCTCACTAAATACTCTGTCTTAAGCTACCAATACACTGACTGTTTTCTTGTCATTCAGCCCCAATGATAGCAGGACCACATACTGGGCAAATTTCGGCTGAGTCAGCAAAACTTGGCCAAGCACTGTGTTGCTGGAAGACTCTGCTCCCCTTCCAAAAACAGAATTGCAGGAGAGGAGTTCTATACTGTGTGGAGCAGAGTCCTCCAGCAGCAGAAGACGGTCTACTCCATCACACAGAAAATAACATTCAGAAGTTTGCTCATCTTCACATTTTATTAATAAGAACTCTGAGTCCAGTAGGATTGGTTGGATGTTTTATTGAACACAATTACGCAAGACAGAAGCCATCCAGTTTATATACATGAACTCCAGAGCTGGTCCTGCCCATCAAAGTCCGGATTCCGATCTTTCCTTCTTATTGAAGTACCGGGAGACCTTTTCCATAAGATCCCCAATTAGGACACCGAGGGCGGAGGAGTGAGAAAAAAGAAAAAAAACAACAAAACTGGGCACCGTTAGCCGACAACACGCATGCAAATGAGGTCAGGAGAGCAGACATCTCTGGACCGGAGAGATGCCACATTCTTCCCGCAGATACTTCCCCTTATAGAAGTTGTTGTGTCTGTCTCATAGGGAAAAAAAATATACATTCAAATAGCACAAGAGCCATCAACCATGGTGGACACAGGTACCTCCAACTCTCGAGGGACTTCGGGAGGTCCATCTACTATGGAACTCATGGTGGACATAGAGAGGTCAATCTACCATGGTGGACACAGGTACCTCCAACTCTTGGGGAACAGAGAGGGGTCCATCTACCATTGTGGACACAGGTACTGCCAACTCTAGGGGGACTTCCGGAGGACAATCTAGCATGGAACTCATGGTGGACATAGAGAGGTCAATCTACCATGGCGGACGTAGGTGCCTCCAACTCTCAGGTGACTTCTGGGAGGATATAGGGAGGTCCATCTACCATGGAACTTATGGAGGACGTAGAGAGGTCAATCTACCATGATGGACACAGGTGCCTCCAACTCTCCGGTGACTTCTGGAGGATATAGGGAGGTCCATCTACCATTGAAACTCATGGTGGACATAGAGAGGTCAAAGTGCCAGGTAACTTCCGGAGGACACATTGTGACGATAGGGAGGTTTGACACACCCCTGGTGTGTGGGCCTGAGCACGGTCACTTTAATTTTCTAAAATATTTGCAAGTCATTAAAATAAATAAATCACTTTAAAATCATGTAATAGGCGGCCATGTGAGAGGACACACGTAACATAAAAACCTTCCATTGTAAAACACAGTTAACAGAAAACAGTCCAAAGCAAGAAACTAAGTGGAGACGTGTTAAACCTCCGTCAGCCGGGATCTTCTAAACGATCAGAACCGTTTCAGCAACACACACCGGGGCCGGTTATCTTTAATCCCAAACTGAACTTTTACAGCCAAACTTCAATTCCTGCCGCGGTGGAGTTCCCTTCATAACACGTGGTGACATGACGGCGTCATAATGAGGGAGACACCCAAACACACTTCTATTATAAAGACCATGAGGCTAAAAGAACACATTCGATCTCCAGCAAGAAATCTGCGTGACATTCAGATAATTTGTCCTTACGAATTGTCATTATAAAATCGGTCACATCTGTTGGTTGTCGGATTGTGAACCCGTCAGATGGAAATGATGATTTAGGATATTTGTTGGTCAGGGTGGGACTGCGGAGCGTAATAAAATACTCTCAACACCAGTGACTAGATCTGTGAGATGCTCTTCATGGCCAACATTTGGCAGCTCTCGTTTACCACCGAAACTGCAGAAATGAAGAGTCCAGTGGGATCCGGTGACTCCGATTTATCATATTGGACTTAATCTGCATGGAACCGGATGAAACTTTTTTTTTTTTTTTAACTGTTGCCAGTTGTCTGTTCCGTCATATCGTTTCCTATAAATATTTCCCAGCACCATTAAATTGATATTTTCATGTTCTAAATTTGTAACTACATGAATTTTTGCCCCCGTTACATTCCCCTCTGCGTGTGGCAGCAAGTCAGGTTTTCAAAATAAAAAACCTGGCTGTGAACGGCGTGCGTTAGAACACAAGGTGGCGGCTGTTTATGTGTAAAGGGTTAACTGCATAGTTAGCCTGCCCCAGTGGCAATCAATCGCAGGCTGTTGGTGATTAAATTGTTGCTCCAGAACAAACAAAACAAAAAAAACCTTGGCATGGGAGGAGAGTGTGCAAACCATCACATGCAGGGACACTCATCTGTGGTGGACTGATGAGGACATGAAAAATACCATCTTCTGGAGGACACAAACATCCACGGGGGGTTCTTGGGCGACACAAATATAATCAGTCTGCTAGAGGACTTCTGGAGCACATGATGACTTCCATCTATTGTGGGACTCCTGGAGGACTTCCATCTGTCCAGATATTACAGGAGGACACAGGGACATCCAGCTGCTTGGGGACTCCTAAAGGAAGCAGTAACATCCAAAACGGAAGTCCCATAGAGGACAAAGGGACATCCGTCTGCCGGGGGACTCCTGGAGGACACAGGGACATCCGTCAGACGGGGGACTCCTGGAGGACATGGCACCATCCTTCGGTACTCATGGAGGACACATGGGTGTCCCAACTGTTGGGGGACTCAGGAAGGTCTATCAGCCCGGAGACTCACGGGAGGACAGAAATCCATCTGCCAGGGGACTCCTGGGACACAGGGACATCCGTCCGCCGGGGGACTCCTGGAACACAAAGGTACTTGCATTTGCCTGGGGAATTAAGGAGGACACTGGGATGTCTAGCTGCCGGAGAACCCAGTAACATCAACAGGGACTTGCTA